AATTAAGATCGAGTGATAATCCTAAGATATCTGTACTCCAACTATAAGATATTTCAAATTAAGATCGAGTGATAATCCTGAGATATCTGTACTCCAACTATAAGATATTTCAAATTAATATCGAGTGATAATCCTGAGATATCTGTACTCCTACTATAAGATATTTCAGGATGGATGAAACTTCGATACCTTATTATGTACCTTCGCTATTTGTCAAAAATCCAGTGCTTTGCAAATATATTATCGTTATGCAAAAACGGATCACAATCAAGCGTTGCGGCGTTTCTTAAAAAAAAGGATCTGTCCTACGATAAGATAAGGAAACGTGGTCACCAAGTAAGAGTTATATTACGTCTCTTGATACGCGTGTACGAAAATAATCTTAAATTGATAGCCGTAAGATTTGTTTGTTTGTAATTAGGCACAAAGCTACACAATGGGCTATCTGTGCTCTGCCCACCAAGGGTATCGAAACCCGGATTCTAGCGTTGTAAGTCCGCAGACATACCGCTGTGCCACTGGGGGGGGGCGATCCCCTTAAGAACAAAAATCAAAATCCCCTAACGTACAATCTTACACCATGAGATAAGATCAAGGGGATTTTACGTGGCAATGCTTGTTTAGGTAGAAGAACGGGTATTTCAAAAGAACAGCGGATTGTTGTATATTTTTCCACCTGTGAAATGACATCCGGGGTATTTCTTAGCGGTATAAAATTATAACCATCAAGGGTATTAAGCATGCAGGAGTTGAGATAATGGAGCTTGAGATTTTCAAAGAAAAATTATGTTCCCTAACGTCTGTCTAAATCAGTGGTAACATTTTTAAAAGTGAGAGATAAATTGATATTTAGATGGATGGATGAATGGACAGACAGACAGAGATGTAGAACTATTCACACCGTACTTTAAAAAAATCTTCGTGTAAGAAGAATTTATTTTGTTTCAATATAGTTTCCATTATCGGCTCATAGACCACGAACTATTCACACCGTACTTAAAAAAAAAAAATCTTCGTGTAAGAATGTTTTATTTTGTTTCAATATATTTTCCATTATCGGCTCATAGACCCCAAACTGAGCTGGGTACGTTGAACTTGTACATAAGTTTTTAGAAACAATGAATAAATGTCATTCACCTAGGTTATATATACATGTATAGATTATATATCTATTAAGAGTTGGGCCCTGCATGGCCAGGTGGTTAAGGCACTCGACTCGCAATCTGAGGGTCTCCGTCACACCAAACATGCTCGCCCTTTCAGTCATGGGGGCGTTATAATGTGACGGTCAATCCCACTATTCCTTGGTAAAAGAGTAGCCCAAGAGTTGGCGGTGGGTGGTGATGACTAGCTGCCTTCCCCTCTAGTCTTACACTGCTAAATTAGGGACGGCTAGCGCAGATAGCCCTCGTGTAGATTTGCGCGAAATTCAAAACAAACAAACAAACTATTAAGAGTTGAGTTATCATTACGATACTGCTATTCAGAACGTTTCAGGGAAATGACTGCTTTTCAGAACGTTTCAGGGAAATGTAAAAATTCAACGACTGTTGAAATAATATAAATTTCCCAATATCCCTTAAGCATGCAGTAATCGTCATCTGTTACGAAACGACGAACAGTTTTTTTTTAAATAGGTATTGTTACAAGATCGCCCAATTAATTCAGCCTACTGAGCCGAAAAGCTAACATGAATATGTTTTAACGATGGATAATTTTAGCAGTTAGAAGTGGATACTTAAAATGTTTGTTGAAATTACCTTTTTAACGAACGTTCGTTCTCCTTTGATTTCTCATTTAGATGTAACAGAAACCTAAAATTTCCACTAATTCACGAGACTTCAGAGTTAAAATCAATTTGAAGCCAGGACCTTGCGTCATGACAGAATGATTGAGAAAAATGTCTTGTATTGTTAAATAATTGAAGCCAGAACCTAGTACAGTGACAAACTGACTAAAATTATTTTCACTTCAGATTAAAAGTAAGCTAACTATATATGTAAATAATTCATGACTTAAGGCAACTTATAAATCAATGAAACCAAATCTACAAAGCAAACTGACAAGAATTCGTAATGTAATAAATCAAAACATAAGAAAACTAAAAACTATAGTGATTAAAACGTAACCTCGAAATTCAGACACGTTAGGAGATTTAGGTTAGTCCTAAATGTATATATATACTAATCCAACAACGCAGAATCATATTTATGAGTTAAAAATTAATAATAATGATAACATCAAAAGCATTTTAAGCATTATCTACAATAACATAAATGAACTAAGTTAACAGAAAAGTGGAGCGTCATTACTTATAAAACATCATATTTTTATTCTCTAAGAACCACGTATCTTATTAGGCCTAATAACGACACATGATCCTTTAGTCTTTAAGAACCACGTATATTACTAGGCCTAATAACGACACATGATCCTTTAATCTCTAAGAATCACGTAGATTACTAGGCCTAATAATGACTCATGATTCTTTAGTCTCTAAGAACCACGTAGCTTACTAGGCCTAATAACGACACATGATCCTTTAGTCTCTAAGAACCACGTAGATTACTAGGCCTAATAACGGCACATGATTCTTTAGTCTCTAAGAACCACCTAGCTTACTAGGCTTAATAAAGAAACATGATTCTTTAGTCTCTAAGAACCACGTAGCTTACAAGCCTAATAACGATAAATGATTATAGCATAAACGTTCAAGTATTTGGAGAAGTGCAAACCAACAAGAAAAATTACCAAATATAATAGTGGCCATATTTTTTGTATCATGTCTGAGCTTAATGTTTTATATTATAAGCTACGTTGGTATTTTGATTATTTTTCTTTCTGCAATGATTTTTTTTCTGTAGCTGGCTTCTTTTTTCATTCAAAACATTCAGTAAACCTTCCGTCTCATAAATATATGTTGCACTTTTATCATATTTGTTTCCATAGGTCTTGTTCGTTTGTTGAATTTCGCGTGAAGCTAATCGAGGGCTAGCGCGCCAACCGTCCCTAATATAGAAATCATAAACCTAATTTAGCAGTGTAAGACTAGAGGGAAGGCAGCTTATTCTACCCCACTCGCTGCCAACTCTTAGGCTAATCTTTACCAACGAATAGTGGGATTGATCAACACAATTTAACGCCTCCACGACTGAAAGGGTGAGCATTTTTGGTGGTGCGTTTCGAACCCGCAACCCATAGATTTCGAGTCAAGTGCCCTAACCACCAGGCCCACTTCCATGCCTCAACAAGAAAGTTGTAAGTTTGTTTTTCCTTTTCAGTTTATAATTCATTAATAATTTTTCAAATAACAATTGTACATGTAACCGATGGTCAACATGATGAACCTCTATTTATGTATATAATTAAACGCAAAAAAAATTATTGCCAAAGAAAAAAAACAATCGTTTTCTAAATGTGAAAAACAAAAACCTGTAATGTTTAGCATCAAACCTAATTATATCTATGCGGCAATATTTTTTTTGTTTAAGAAATGCTAAACTGAAGAAAGAAAAAAATCATTTTTGGTCGTGCTCTAGAGTTGTTAAATGTATCGTGAATATCAATGTTACTTTAGCGCGTTAAGGGTTACGTGTGAGCAACAATGAAACCAGAAGCAAGTGTTCTAAACCAAAAGATTGCCTGCCACTTAAGGAGGCAACGCAATAGATGACTATAACAAGGCTTTCATAACGTAGTATCAAGAGACGATTTACATTTGACACTCCTGCACAACCTCTTAGTAAGCATCTCTGTGTCTTTCTCAGTAGGGGAGGGTCGACCAATTTAAATGCTTTCAAGGAAATTTTCAACATGAGCTCAAGTAGCAGCCGGCTGTGTTGCCCGTTCTAAACTTCCTGTCAATGGACAAGTTAAGGCAGGACAAATTGAATTCAGTTAAGTGGAGATTATAGAGTGCAACTTCTGCCCTATGATTACGTACTTGGTGTGGCGGATTTTTCAGCTCAATATGTAAAACAAAATTGGAGCTCAAGAGGCGGGAAAATAATGAAAAAGGTTCAACTACCAATATTTAGAGTTTGCGTTAAAATATTTTGTTGTTGCTATGGGAGTAAATAAGGTGTTCTTAAGCCTAACAGGGTCATAGTTACAGCAGATTGTACACGATAAAGACCTGCGGTTATTTCATCAGAAAGAAGAAGAGACCTTAAGCCTTTAGGCAGTTCTAAACTCCTTACCTAACTTTGTTATTAACAGGATGCCGAACTGAGAAAATATTTTAGCGTGTAAATCATTTGTCAGACAGACTTGACTGATGACCGGAAGTGTTTAACCTGAAGGTAAAAAAATTCTAATTTCATTATTTTTTGCTGTTCAACGTGTGCTGTCTAATTAAAAAAAAACAGAAAATAAAAATGAAATGAAACGTTTTTTTCTATTTAGATTTATATATTTATATACATGATAATACAGATATCATTTTGCATAGTAAGTTTGACAAATACGTTTAACTCATTAAGTTTCTGACATTCAGGTTGCTTCCTGCTGAATTTATGCTAGTCAACAAAATACTTTAACTGACGAGAGTAAATCTCTTTGTAAGAAGAGAATTAAGGTAACTTCTGGAGCCCCCTATAACTAGCTTAGTCTTTAATAAATTCTACTTTGTAGTCTTCAGAAATTTTTATTTGACCAGCTCTGCCGAGAAAGACCTAAATGGTTCAACGATACGTCTTGGACCTTGTAACGCTAAAAAATCGAGTTTCGATACTCACGGTGGACAGAACACAGATAGTCTATTGTGTAGCTTTGCGCTTAACGACAAAAGGACAAACATTAGGGGGAAAATATTTGTTTGTTTGTTTTAGAATTTCCCGAATTCTAGAAGGGTTCTCTGAGTATAACCGTCCATAAGCTTGAATTAATAGGCAAAAGGAAAGGCAGGTAGTAGTAAATAACATTCACCGCCCTCTCATAGGCTACTCTTGTCTGATCGAGTAGTGGACAACACTCACTGCCCTCTCATAGGCTACTCTTGTCTGATCGAATAGTGGACAACACTCACTGCCCTCTCATAGGCTACTCTCATCTGATCGAATAGGGGACAACACTCACTGCCCTCTCATAGGCTACTCTTGTCTGATCGAGTAGTGGACAACACTCACTGCCCTCTCATAGGCTACTCTCATCTGATCGAATAGTGGACAACACACACTACCCTCTCATAGGCTACTCTCATCTGATCGAATAGTGGACAACACACACTGCCCTCTAATAGGCTACTCTTGTCTAATCGAATAGTGGACAACACTCACTGCCCTCTCATAGGCTACTCTCATCTGGTCGAATATATTGAACAACACACACTACCCTCTAATAGGCAACTCTTCTCTGATTGAGTAGTGGACAACACTCACTGCCTTCTCATAGGCTACTCTTGTCTGATCGAATAGTGGACAACACTTACTGCCCTCTCATAGGCTATTCTCATCTGATCGAATATATTGAACAACACACACTGCCCTCTCATAGGCTACTTTCATCTGATCGAATATTGGACAGCACTCATCGCCCTCTGTAACGGACTTATTATTACGTATTTATTTTATTATCGATGTCTGCTTGAATTAAATTTATATTTACAAATGTATATAACTTATATTGTTAGATATATATTGCGAAACTCCCGCCTATTCTCTAAAGTTGTAGAAGATTCTCGAGTGTAAGAATCAACAATATAAGTGTGTATGTAAGCTCTAGTGTAGCGTGTTAGTAATGTTACGTAATCTGAATTTTCGAGAAACTCTCTACATGCCTATAAATATAATCAATGCGACGAGCCAATAAACAATATCTATTATTAGTTTGCTCTAATCAGTGTGCTATAAACTTCGGAAGCTATAACTATAATAGTGATTAGCGCTTATTACTCGGGAAACTTTAGATATTTGATCAGGAACATTTACAAAGTTCGAACATTGCAAATCATTTAACTTCAGTGGATTCTCATCGGACATTAGTACTTTTATGAAAACATTATATATCTTCACGGTGGAAAACTCGGCGTGTGTGGCTGGTGAATATCGAAGAACAAAG